GTCCCTGCCAACACCCCAGTTGCAGGGCACAGCTTCCAGGGTGGCCTCCCAGAACTCATCACTGAAGCCAAAGAGGGCCAGAAGCCTTCCCATGTCACATAAGGATCCAGGCCAGAAAGACAAGGAGTGTAGTTCCGTGTTGGAACACAGAGGTAAAGGGGTCCTGATCTCCCCAGAAAAGTCACCACCCATGGATCTAACCCAGTCAGAACCTGGCTGCTTGAGTGCCAGGTCTCAGAACTCTCCATCCAGCGTGAACAGAGAAGATGAGGTTATCCTTTTATTGGATTCAGATGAAGAGCTGGAGCTGGAACAAATCAAAACAAAGTCAGGTTTGAATGGTCCCTCGGAAGAAAGGAAAGTTCTTGAAGTTAGCACCAAGTCCTCTGAGCTGTTTTCCATCATCGACCTTGATGCAGAGCAGGAACCTTCCCAAAGCCCACCAGGAAGAGAGCCCACGCTACAGCAGGAGGTGGAGGGACTGCTGGGGAACCGGGGCTCTGTCGGGGGCAGAGGGACCCCCCAACTGTTCTGCGACCCCAAGATCAGTGGCGACGAGGACAGCACGACAGATACCTCGTGGCTGGTGCCTGCCACCCCACTGGCTAGCAGAAGCCACGACTGTTCATCGCAGACCCAAATCACAGGCCTCAGGTCCAGGCCTTCAGCAGACCCACTGGCTCAGCCCAAGCCCAGGGCCCTGTTAGAGAACAGGGGTGAACCGGAAGCCATGAGTAAGTTTTCGGTCATCGTGCCTCAGACATCATCCTCACTCCTGGGCCCCATCGCTCCCGGAAGCCCTGACAGCAGAAGGCAGGTCTGCAGAAGCCCATCCAGTCCCCACCCCAGATGCCACCAGTACTTTTCTCCTCTGGCTCCCCGTCCCGGCTCAGGAGGCCTTGCTGACCTCACTGGGCAGTTCCAGAGGCACCCACCGCCTGTGCTGAGCCCAGGGGTTCAGGCCACTGCGAGTGAAGTGGTGGAGGTTGAGGACAGTGAGGAGGAGCAGGAGGTGGCCTCCCAGAAGGCGAGCAACATCCCCCTGCTGGATAGTGACCCCCCGATTCCAGCCGACAATTGGTGTTGGCACGTGGAGCCCCTCTCACCAATTCCAATCGACCACCTGAACCTCGAGTGGACCGGCCCCCTGAGCACCAGTAGCCCTGGCAGTAGGGTGGAGGGAGCCCCGGACAGCGGTGACTGCCGCTCCCCAGCACTGCTGGGCACCACCCCCATCCGAGGAAGCTGCACTGGCCAGAGGAAGCCTCAAGAGAAATCCCCTGGGGCCGGCTCCCCTGGGAGCAGCAGGCTGAGCTTTCTGAACTCAGCTCTGTGGGAGGATTGGGATGGAGAAGAACAGAAGCCCCCAGAGGCTCCTCCTCTGCCCCAGACACCAAGCGCGGATGGAGCCCAGAAACTGCAAGAGTTACAGACGCCAAGTGAGTAATGGGAGGGTGTTGTCTTTTACACTGTTTTACACTAAGGGGCGTGGAGGGTCGTAATGACAGCGCGGGGCAGTGATGCTAAAGGGCCTGCTGACCCGTGGCCAGCCCTCCCCTTGCCTGCCTGACCCCACTCCACGGTTGGGGAGGATCGGCCTGCTGTCAAACATATACTCCTTAGCCAGTAAGTCAGGGCTTCCTAAACCTGCCTGGATCCTGTGGCTCGCCTGGGTACTTGTTCAAGATCCCTGTCTGTGGCTCCGCTCCAGAATAGTGGACCAGCACCTCCCGAGAGGCTGTGATAGGCACCTCAGGTGCACCTTAAGAGCAAACGTGTGGTTCCTCAAGTAGTCAAACACAGAATTGCCATTACCACCAGGCAATTCCACTCCCACGTATACATTCAAAGGTTTTGAGGTGAGGACTCCTGTATACAAATGTTCACAGCAGCAATATTCACAACAGCCAAAAGGTGGAAACAACCCAAATGTCCATCAGCTGATAAGTGGATAAAGAAATGTGGTCCATACATACATACAGTGGAATATTATTCAGCCATATGAAGGAATAAAGCACTGACACAGATACAGCAGAATGAACCTTGAAAACATGCTGCTCAGTGAAAGAAGCCAGACACAAAAGGCCACCACGTATTATATGATTCCTTTTATATGAAACATTCAGATGGACAAAGCCATAGAGACAGAAAGTAGATGAGTGATCACCAGGGGCTTGGGGGGAGGAGAACAGGGAGTGACGAGCATGGAACTTTCTTTGGGGGATGAAATGTTTTAGAACTAGAAAGATGTGGTGGTTGCACAACACTGAATGTGCTAAGTGCTACTGTTCACTTTAAAATTTTGTTACGTGAATTTCATCTCAATTAAAAGACCAGATGGGGTAAGTGTGGGAGGTCTGCTGTGAGCCTTATCGGCCCCACTGGTGGAGGGACCCCACTTCCCAGCTCATTTCAGTCACAGGGGAAAATCAAGGCCCCCGGTGTTGGTGTCGGCCCCTTGAGGTGCTGCTGCCCCACCGCTATCCCCTCCAGCTGGACTGATCCAGGGAGAGTCTGGGAAGGGACCAGGCGACACTGAGCCGTGACTGGTGACAGGGAAGCAGAACCTATGGGCAGAGCATCTGCCTGTGTCCTGCTATTTCATGTCCCCCTAAAATTTTAGACCAGCTGGGCATCACTAACCAGTGCTTTCAGCCTTGAGTGGGCGTCAGAATTGCCTGCAGAGCTTCTTAAAACACACGTGGCCGGTCTCTACCCCAGAGCTGCTGCTTCAGGAGGTCTGCTGTGTAACCAAGATTTTGCATTTCTAACAGGTTCCGAGGTGGTGTGTGAGAACCGCTGCAGGAGACCTGAGACCAGGGGACCTTAGTCAGAATCTGAGGGGAGATTCATGAGGGTCACAAACTCTCTGAAATGATATAAAGAATCTTGTGCATTTTTCACAAGACAGATCCTGTTGTTTTCATTGGCATCTCAAAGGACTCCATGCTCATAAACAGGATAAGAACCAAAGTCCAGATGTACTTAAGTTGTCCCTAAGTTGTCTTTAAAATACTGATTTTTTTTAATAACAGCATTATTGAGATGTTATTCACATATCATAAAATTCACCCTTTCAAATGTACTATTCAATGGCTTTTTAGTACAGTATTCTACAACTGTCTAATTCCAGGATGTTTTCATCACCCCAAAATAAATCCCATCCCATTAGCAGTCACCCCACTGCCCCTTCACCCCAGCCCCTGGCAACTGCCTACCTGCTTTCGAGCTCTTCACAGCATCAGCACCACATAAGCCCGTGGCCCTCACCGCGTGCTGTGTGATGCTTTCCAATGGGAAGATGTGACTCCAGAGTCAAACAGTGAAGGGTGGACATCCCTGCTGTCCTGGAGCGAGGGCAGCACTTCTCTAAGTGACACTATCAGGGTCAGAAGAGGCAAATCCAGGGCCCTCGTGCTGAAACGTATGTTTCTTTTGTTCTACCCAGAAGGTGCTAACCGGAAGAAGAACTTGCCCCCCGAAGTGCCCATAACCCCAATGCCAAGGTATTCCATCATGGAGACCCCGGTGCTGAAGAAAGAACTGGACAGGTTGGTGGTGTTCTGGAAAGCTTGCTCTGAGCAGACCCTCCCTCCTGCACCTATGTCCAGGCTTAGTGAAGTGGGGAACAGAACGGCACCCTGGGCTCTGGTGGCAGGAGCCTCTGGCTGGTGGGGGGGCGTGCGTGACTCCCAGCTCTCCACATACTGTTCCCCAGGTGACTTAGGGCCAAGAAATGACACTCCTCCAGGTCACCCATCAGGTGGCAGGTCTCCATGTGCCATGTGGATGGGAATGGTACCCTTGCCTTAACAGTTTGAGGAGGGAGAGCTGATTTTTTAAAAGAACATCAAAACTCACATTCCAATGAATTCTGCTGTTTGCCTTGGACACTGGGGAGGTCACTGCTACCACCACCACTCAGAACTCAGGGGGAATGGCCTTTCTGGAATATTCCTGAGTCAGCTCAGTGGGTATGCAGGATAGATACCGACCTCTGAATGCTCTTAAGTCAGGCATTTAAGATTCAGTTACATAAAGCCACTAGTTTAATTAGTTAATACCTGTTTGCTCTTTGCTGACGTTCATCTGTTTTCCCATTCAGGTTTGGGGTCCGCCCTCTGCCCAAACGCCAAATGGTCCTGAAACTGAAGGAGATATTCCAGTACACTCACCAGATACTGGAGTCAGACTCTGAGGAAGAGAGCCAGTCCTCACAGGTGCCCTTGGAGGCTCCTTGCAGCCAGACTTACACCACCAAGACCTCTAAGCCTTCAAGGGCAGCTGGCCGCACCCAGCTGGAGGCCACTTCTGGCTCCGTTCCCCAAAGGTCCAAGGGACCTGCTAAGACCAAGGGCCCCCAACATCAAAAGACACAGCCTGGTGGAAGGGTCCCTGCCCTGAGCACGTCACCAGCCAAGGAGGGCCCTCCAGGCCCTGATGGTGACACCCAGCTACCGGCCTCCCAGGAATCCATGGCCACCTCTGTAGACAGCAGTGACAGCTCCTGCAGCTCACAAAGGTAACCAGATGGAAGGACAGGGCCACATCCTCTCTCACAAGCAGGGCCAGCCTAGCACAGCTGCCCTCGGCATTAGATTCTGGCTGAGGGTGCGATCCCGCTCAGGCCTGCAGCTAGAGTGCCAGGGACACAGCAGCCTGGGGCTTCCTACTGCCCTGGGGGTCGTCCATGTGCCGGGCTCCGCAGGGGACAAAGAAACACACTCCTTCCCTCAAAGAGGCTCCTGGTCTCGGGGTGGAGGCCGGAAAGAAGGGGTGTTGCTAGGTGTTATTGTCTGGTTCTTTTCAGTTCTTCCTGTGACTTTGGAGCGGCCTTGGAGTCTGCAGGAGAAGATGAGGAGGACGAGGAGGGTGTCAGTGCTTCACAGGCGGCCATCCAGGTAGCGGCCACAGAGGAGGCCGTGAGGCATTATATCTGCTCCAAGCCAGCCCTCTACCGCAAGGTCCTGCTGTACCAGCCCTTGGAGCTGGCAGAGCTACAGGCCGAGCTGAAGCATCAAGGCATCCATGTGGCCACGGGGAAGCTGCTGGACTTCCTGGACACCCAGTGCATCACCTTCACCACAGCTGCCGCCCGCAAGGCAAAGCCTGTGAGGAAGAGACGGCAGCCCATGAGCAAGAAGACGGGGGTCAGAACCCGCGGGCCTGTCCCCCGCCCCCAACCCCAGGCCATCAGCAGCCTGTGAGGGTCTGCAGCCCCCGTCAGCCAGCCAGGCCCCCACAGTGTTTCTGAGCTTTCTGACCACACTGCTCCCCCTGTGAATAACGGCAGCACCAACCCAGATCGGCTTCCTCTTGACCTCATATCCTAGAGTGGCCTTTGGAGTGTGTCATCTGCTGGATTTAGGGGCCCTGGCCCCTCCCTCCATTGGTGCCCACAGTTTGTCTCCCTTTAACCCCCTTGGGCCCCATGTGTTTCAGAAGGGGGTGGGCCACTGCCAGCTGGCCAGGGCAAGGCCTGATTCAGCTGCATTTTCCACTCTCTTTGCCCACCAGTCACAGGTGTCCGTGTCCTGAGGTGGATGTCTGGGTCCAGGCTGCCCCTGCCCATGTCTTCCTTCTCAGCACTTGGGCTGTAATCCCAGCCTCCACCAGCAGACCAGCTGTCCACAGGCCCTGAACTGCCAGGCCCCAGGTGCTCTGCTGGCCCAGCTGTCCTGCCCAGACACCTGTCATTGTCACCAGCAGTCTTTGAATTGGACAGTACAGAAGGCCCAGTACAGCTCTGAAGCCCCCCAAATAAGCATGTTCTTTGTTAACTGGTTCCACCAGTATGTGTTGTAGCCGCCTGTGGAGTGCAGGTGAGGGCTGGAAAAGAAGAAAAGTTTGGGTCTCTGTGTCCTTGTGAACGTCTTGTCTGTTTTAAATACGGTGCAGTTCATTTTATATCGTGCAATAAAAACAAAAAGCCTTTACAGAAACCTTCTGGATACTGTACTCTAGAAAATAACGAGGGAAACGGGCCGTGGGGAGGGGACCCACAGTGCCCCTGCTGACCCCACACCCGTGTCTGCCGAAGGCCTGTGCCTGTTCTCCATCTCAAGGCGGAGCCCAGGCCTGCTGCTGCTCATTCCTCTGGTTCTTAGGTACTCATTCATCTACACATTTGCGCCCCCACCCCAAACCCCACACGCCTACAGTTAAGAGCCCTCAGCAGGCGCTGAGCTCCCACCCTCGATGATCCAGGAGAGGCCGAGGCCCAGCAGCATTGCCCGGGGTTTGTTACATGCAGGCTTGGGCTGCCCATACCCACTGAGTCAGAATCTGCATTTTAACAGGATGAGTTTATGAAGCCTGCTCTGGCCTGTGTGCTGGGCCCTGTGGAGAAAAGGGAACAGGCCAGCACTTCCGGTCATCTAGTGGAGAAGACAGACTGGCCTCTCCTCTGTGCCAGCTGCGAGGGTCAGTGCTCAGATGGCCCAAAGGGACAGCTTCCTGGAAGAGGGGGTTTGTGAACTGGGCCTCAGCGGCGTGCAGCATTCAGGGAGGCGAAATGGGGCTTCTTGAACACATACTGTGTTTCCTGATTTGTGACCAGACGGAGGGGACCCAGCCTTCCCCATGTCTGCTGCCCAAGGGCAGACGGCTAGAGGGAAGCTCGGCTCAGATCACACCACTTTGATCAGACTGAAGATGGAGCCTGGCCTGTTCTAGAAGCTACCATGCATTTCTTGTATGAAGGGCTTGATGCCCCCTCCTGAGTATGGGCTGTGTCAGGGAAATGAAGTGGAGTTAGGAAGGAGGGAGCCGACCCAGGGTCCTTACCCTGCTCACTGGCTCGCAGGGGAGACCATGCAGCTTCGGGTGCACTCCCTCGGGGGAGGCCTGGGAGCCTCACTCCTCGGACAGTGTCCTGACTCGGAGAACGCTACCAACTCCAGGTGGAAAAGGAGGTTTTGGGGGAGGGGTTAAAGTTGATAAAAAGCCACCAGCAGGTAAAGGGAGGGAAGGTGGGCCTGGGGACTGAAGACCTTGGCCCGTCGGGTCTGTGCAGCGTGTCCCCGGAGGCCAGCAGGGGTCAGCAGTTGGCCTGGCCATGGCTCGGCCAGTGCAAAAGCAAGGAAAGAGGGTTAAACCAGCCACTAAGAAAAGAAACCACCACAGCCAGAGAAGGCGGCACCCGGGAAAGCATGACCTTTACAGAGGGTTTAAACCTGACTCAGGAACTAGAGAATTAGGTCCAGCTAACTGGTTGAAAAGGAGCTGATGATGAGCTGCCCTATCCCAGCACCCACAGGGAGCCTGGAGGAGCCAGCGGCCATGGCCTCGTGGTGGGCAGCAGGCACAGGCGTTCCTGTGCAGAAGCTCTGACAGTCGCCACAGGGACTCAGCATAGGAAGAACATGCGCTGAGCTCCAGGGCAGCGGAACATTCACCCATCAGCGAAAACGAAGAGACACCCACGCTTCACTGTGATGTGACCTCCTGGGCCGGTCCCGCTTCCTGTGGCTTGGCCTCGGCCTGGACATGGTCACTCAAGGCAATCAAAGGACAGCCACAGCCCAGCTTGAGCAGGGCCCCAGCAAGGGGGCCTTGCAGTCTGCACAACCCCAGAGAGGCCCATGCAGGCAGGAAGCCTCAGGTTTTCGCTGAGCTGGGAAGGGCCTGCCCAGCTGACCACAACTCTGGGTGGATAGAAAGCCCCAGAGTGAGAACGAGCATGGGAGACCTCACCCCAAACGTATGAAAACCCCCGGGAGAGTCAGGAGAAGGCCCCGAACTTCTTAGAGGAGCCAGCAGAGGGAGCCTGGGGCCCAGCCCTACCCAGCCATGGGACATCCCTTCTAGGTGGGGAGGAAAGGTGGGGGGCAGTGCTGACTCAGGGGTGCCCTGAGATTCCCCACAGAGGATGCTGTTTCCTTTTGTGCTCAGGATCCATCGACCCTGAGCCGTGGAGGGAGGAGCAGAGGGGCCTCCTGGCCTCTGTCATGTGACAGATACCCACCTGGCCCCTGTGGTTTCCAACATCCTGTGGGCGGCCTGCTCTCAAATGCCTTCACTGCACCTCTGGCCAGGGCTGCAGCCGCCAGTCTGCACTCTGCCTGCCTGAAGCCTCAGCAGGCTTCTCCAGGGTAGCCACCGTGTGTCCCCCCAGCACCTGGCGAGCGCTGATGGAAGGGACAGAGGGAGTGAGGGGGGAATGGGAGCATGGCATTCTATGAAGCACTTCTGATCTGCCGCCTTGGTACCCTCCCCTCCATCACCCATGCGGCTCTTGAGGACAGGCTAATACAAGCACATGCCCCGCCCCCTCCCAACTCCCCTCACACACAAGCTGCTACATGCACTTGAACCTACTACTCTCCTGCTCTACAACCATTGCTGGCTCCCACCTGCTCACTGAGAAAATCTGAGGCCCCATCACTTTGCTCCCACCTCGTCATCTGCTTCTCTCAGTGGCTTCACATGAGGTGGTTTGCTCCCTGTCACCAGAGTCTGTCCTGTATTTTTCCTCTATTGTAACTTTTCTCATGTTGTTCACTCTGGGCTGTGTCCTTCCCCATCAATGCAGCGCACGTGCTGAGGTCCACCTCCAGGGGCCTGAGTGAACTGCCACATTCTGCTGTTTCAGGTGCAGCTGACCTGCCTTGGGGGCCCTTGAGTTGGGAAGACACTGTGGAGTACAGCTGGGGCAAAGGTGCCTGTTGGGTGCTAGAGAGAAGGAAAGCAAGGGCGGTTAGAAGAAGGGGTGAGGAGGGCCACACACCATATCAGAGCATGCCAGCCTAGAGTGGCAGGACGCAGTTCCAGCCCCAGCGAGGTCAGCTGCCTGCTGTGTGGCCTTAAGGAAGTCACTGAATGCCCCCACGCTTGCCTGGTTTCCCTACCACCCCCCAAAAAGCAAAGGTCTGCTGATGGTGAGTCTGTTTTCCTTTGTGGCCTCGGTTGGACCACTTTCCCCTGAGCATCAGGTCTGCAGGGGCACTCAGTCCTTGAAACAAGACCCTGGCATCACCCTTGCCTCTGACTTACAGGGTGGTGACAAAGCCAGAGAGCTGGCCCGAGGCAGCTACAGCTCACTGATTTGTCTGTAAGGCTGTTGGCTTTTGAAATCAGACAGGAAGGAGGGTTGAGGTGGAGCCCGGCACAGGAAGAGGTGAGGAGCCCCGGCTGCCGTGACAGCCGATGGGCTCGGGGGAGTGCGGGAGCTGGCAGGCCGCGGCCCTGCTGCCCTGCACGGTAATCACCTCCTGATCCCTCCAGACAGGGCTTCACTCCTGCCCTGGACAGATCCTGACGGCTCAGGGACCAGCTGACCAGCCACAGAGATTCCCAGGACATCCTCACACCCACCCAGCTGCCTCTGTCCACTGGAGCAGGGCTGAGCCCAGGAGCGCTGGGATGGACGCCCTCGGCCCCCCAGCATTGGCATCCCTGGAGCAATGAGGCCCGGGAGGTAAGTTGAGTCCAGACTGTCTCAGTACAGGATGGGGGAGAAAGAGGAGACAGCTGGCAGAAAGGACCATGACTTTGAAGGCCTGAGCCACTCTGTGGAGTGGTGGCTGGGGCAACTCCAGGAAGGTGTCCCCATGGGTGCCAGGAGCTGCTGGGAAGGACTAGATAACGGTGTGAAATAAGCAAACAGGTGCCTAAGGACAGCCCACAATGGGCCAAGGCGACAAAGCCCAGCACCCCAGGTACCAATGATGGGACAGGAGGAGCAGGAAGTAGCTGGAAAGTGCTGCAGGCAGGCAGAGGTGAGGTTGAGCAGTGCAGCCCAGTGGTTAAACTTGGAATCAGCAGACCTGGGCACTATCCTAGCATCCCCTTTCCTCCCTTAAGATGGAGGGGACAATACCAGACCTGCCCAGGGTCCTGAGGACCAAGGGAGGTGGTGCAGGTGGGGTTGGGTCTATCACCCAGTGCCTGCTCCATAAATGTCACCCTCATGTTGGGTGAGCAGTCCCCAGGGTCCTCTCCCAGCTGCACCCTCGGATGGAGGTGAGGTTCATCATTCTGAGAGGGACGGTAATCACAGAGGCTTTCTCAGAAGAGGCACCATAGAGCTGGTTCAGGGTGGCTATTGGTCATAGGGCCCTCCCCTGTGGCCAGGCTCCTGGGTCCCAGGGTTTTTCCCTGTCCCCTCAAAGGACGCACATGCTTTCCCTGAGCCCTAGGGCTCACCCTTGGCCATTACAGGGAAACCTGCAGCTGGCTCCCAGGTGGGGGTGCAGGCTGGGCACCTCCTCCTCTGTCCCAGGTGTGCCAGGATCCCCAGGGTTGAGCCTGTCCCGGTCCCCAAGAGGGTTCCAGGGCAGTGAAGTTAGGAGAGCTGTGTCTCACGGTGAAGGCACTGCTTCCTCCCTCTGGGAAAGGCTGTTTGGTCTCAGGTGGTCAGCGGTCATGGTTGGGGGGGCCACCTAAAAGGGCTGAGAACTGAAGTCTCGGGCCCTGGGGGGCAGGGGTGGGAGTCAGGAGACAGGAACATCCAAGAAGCTGTGGCCTGGGACACGGGCAGCCCAGGAGGGAGGGCAGCACTGCAGGCCCCACAGTCACCAAGTGCAGGTGGGCAGAGCAGAGGCCGGTTGCTCTCACACAGGCCTGGCAGACGGGACTGGGGCCCCTGGAAGGATAGCATAGGACAAGCTGGACCTTGTTGGCAGAGACAATGAGGAAATCGGGGCCTGGGCCTCAGGGATGAGACAGAAGCCCAGCTGTGGAGCCTGAGGGACAGGGTCTGAGTGATTCCAGCACAAGGGCACGCAGGTCCTTAGCTGTGTCCTGCCCCATGGATGAAGCACTGGAGGATGCATGGGAGCGGGGAAGCCCTACTCCAGGGAGGTGGCCGTGGAACCCCGGTCCTGTGTCTGGCCTTGCCCTGCCCACTACAGCACAGACCCTCTGCAGACTGACTGCCCTCTGGCCCTAAAAGCCCCCAAGGCGATCCAAGGCCCACCCGCCCTCAGTCTTCTTCCCTTTAAGCTGGGCTCTCAGGCTTCCTGCTGCTCACCGGAGACTGTCTACACTGGGCAGGGTCTACCTGGCTGTCCCTGGTGGCATGTGTGGCCACCGGATGTCATCCTGCTCAGAAGTCTGTGGTAGGTTCCACCCTGTGAGGGTGGCATCTGGGGCTGTAAGCAGGGCTGTCCACACAGGTGGCCAGGTAGCCACCCTCAGCCACTGCTGGCCCTGGGAGGTCATGGGAATGGTGTGGCTCCTGGGCCAACTGCTGGGGTCTCCTCTTCTGTTCTTGTTGGGACAAGGTGTCCAAAGGTGAAGGCCAGGCTGGGGGGGGCTCTTATCTGAGTGGGGCCTGAGTAGGGGTGCCAGATAACAGAACACCCTGTTAATATTTAATCTCAGATAAAGAATGAGTTTTGTTTTTTTTAAGTATAAGTATGTCCCAAGTAGTACATAAGATATACTAGAAGAATTATTTGTTGTTTGTCTGAAATTCAAATTTCACTGGCTGTCCTGTATCTTAATTTGCTAAATCTGGCAACCCTAGGCGAGGTCAGTGGGGCAAGAAAGATGGGTGTCTGATCAGGAGGGAATGTTGGCCCCACTGCTGAGTGGCTGCTGGGACCCAGAGGCAAGGAGCTCGCCCTCCCACCTTCCCAGGCACACTCAGGCCGGCCTCTTCCTCCTGCTCACTCTCGCCTTCTGCAGTCGCTTCTTTGTCACTTTCCTAGCCTCTCTCTGGCCCAGTGGTTCTCAACTCTGGCTGCTCATTAGAATCACCTGGGTAGCTTTAAAATGCATCCATGTAGGGGCTCTACCCCAGACCAGTGAAATCTCTGCGCAGTTGGGCTAAGCGGTGGCTTTTTTAAAATAGCGCTCCATAGAATGACCATAAAATCCAGCAATTCCACTTCTGGGTATACACCCAAAAGAGTTGAAAGCAGAACCTTGAACTGCTATTTGTACTCCCACGTTCACAGCAGCATTATTCACAAGAGCCAAAAGGTGGAAACAACCTAAGTACAATATCTATTGACGAATGGATGAATAAACAAAATGTGGTCCATCCATAAACTGGAATATGATTCAGCCTTAAAAAGGAATGAAATTCTAGTACCTGTTACAACTTGGATGAGCCTGGAAAACATTATGCTCAAAGAGGCCAGATGCAAAGGGACAAATACTGTGTGATCCCACTTACATGAGGTACCTAGAGTTGTCAGATTCATATAAACAGAAAGTGGTTACCAGGGGCTGGGGAGTCAGTGCTTAATGAGTACAGAGTTTCCATTTGGGAGGATGAAAAAGTTCTAGAGGTGGATGGTGGTGATGGTTGCACAACATTATAAATGTACTTAATGTCACTGAATTGAATGCTTAAAAAATAGTTAAAATAGTAAATTTTGTTAGGTATACTTTACCACAATAAAAATTTTAAATTAAAAAAATATTTAGTGCTCCAGACAATGTCCTGCCAGAGCTGAGAGGCACTGAGCCTGGCCCTTCTTCAACACGGTCCTGCATACTCCTGGCCACCACCCCACCCCCACCAAAGCATAGTCTGTTACTTGGTGGGTGTACCTGGACATCCAATGCAGGAGGCTGTGTCCAGCCCTGGGCCACACCCTGACATTGCCCTGAGAGCAGGACAGAGGCCTGAGTGTCCCAGCTCATGCACTAAGAGGCTGCAGTAACAGTGCTTCATTTTGGTTTACATACATTTGAACTTTTAGATAGCTGCTAGCATAACGTTCTCTAAATTGAGGTATAACTTAGACAGTAAAGTGAGCTCAATGGATTTTTATATATGTGTATGCCTGTGTGTACACCATCCAGATTAAATTAGATAGAAGTTTACAGCACCCTAGAAGGCTCCCTCATGCCCCGTCCAGTCAGAACCGCCTCCAAGTGTAACTACTACTTTGACTTCTATCTTTTCAGATTGGTTTGGCCTGACTTTAAACTTCCTACAAATGGAATCACAAGAGTGTGTCTCTTTTGCATCAGACTTCTTTCACTCACAATGTCTGCGAGACTCAGCCATAGTGTTGAGGATATCAGTAGCTTATTCTGTTTCTTTATAATGTAGGATTTGATTGTATGAACATTCCAAAAAAAATCTCAATCTTTTGTTGATGGACATTGGTTGTTTCCACTCTTCTGGAGTTTATGAATAAAGCTGCTATAAATATTCTGATCTGGGTTTTGGTGGACATAAACACTCGTTTCTGTTGGGTATATACCCAGGAGGGAAATTACTGGGTCACAGAAATATGCATATTTAGTCTTATCATTACCAAACATTTTTCCAGAGTGATCTTAATTTTCATTTTCTGATTACTAATGATATTCTCTGCAGTGACATTCTTTCAAGTTTTGGCTCAGTTTATCATCAGATGTCTGTTTCTTACTGATTGATTAAGGTGTTGGGGATGTTGTCTCCTAGTCAATGGTTTGCTTTTTCACCTTTTAATGCTGTCTTCTAATGAACAGATATTCCTAATTTTAATGAATCTCAATATATTGTTCTTTTCTTTCATGGTTAGTGCTTTTTGTGTTCTGTTTAATCTTTACGTAGACCAAGTTCAAAAAGATATATATATATATATTTTTTTGCGGTATGTGGGCCTCTCACTGTTGTGGCCTCTCCTGTTGCGGAGCACAGGCTCTGGATGTGCAGGCCCAGCGGCCATGGCTCATGGGCCCAGTCACTCTGCGGCATGTGGGATCTTCCCGGACCAGGGCACGAA